GTAAATGACGAGTTAATGGGTGCAGCACACCAACATGGCACATGTATACATATGTAACAAACCTGCACGTTGTGCACATGTACCCTAGAACTTAAATTAAAAAAAAATAATAATAATAAATGTATGTCAAAACTCATTGCTGCCAACACTTACAAGATTATTATATGCACTCACCTGGCTTAAACTGAATTCGAACACCAGCATCATTTTGTATTTTTTTGATCATCTCTCCGTTTCTTCCTATTACAATGCCAACAGCAAATCTTGGAATGGGGACCTGATGTAAAAAAGACTAAGTATTAAGAAAACTAGCTTCTCAGGGTTTAAAGTAAAAAAAAGTATTTAAAAAAAGCACCATTTCCTGAAAATCTGCCTCAAATCATAATAGTACATATAATTTTATATTTATAGCAAATAGGGTGACAAGATATAAAATACTTAATTCTGTATTCTAAAGTATAAAGGTGAAATAAAAGGACAACAATGTTAGAGCTATTTAACACAAAACAGAAAACACTACTATATTTACGAATTAGCATACAACCATTTCTGAATGGGTATTTTTACTTACATCTATCCCTTCATTTCCTCCTATTCTTGACCCATACTCATTCCGAACTTCTCTGAAACCACCTTGATCACGAATTAACTCTAACACCATTTCCTTGGCTTGCTAAAGTAGAAAAAGTTAGCTAATTTAGAAAGCATGTCTCAAAACATTTTAATTATTCATGCATATTTTACCCAACCCCATTCAACCCAAACTCTTTCTTTATAAAGTATAAAGTTAAGTTTACTTGAACTTTATATGGGTCTCCTGTAATCCTAAGAGGTTTGTCAGCACCAGTGTTTTGCGGCCCGTCTTGAATCATAACCATTTTAACTCCCGCCCGTTCCTGTTATAATCATAGAAATAATACATATTAACAAAAGGGAGCGGACAAAAATGGGCATCAAAACAGACCAAAAGTAGCCATTTCACAAACATAACAATACCTGAAGCTGTTTAATAGTTTCTCCCCCCTTTCCAATGACTAATCCTGCCTTGCTAGCAGGAATCATGATTTCTTGAACTGCATTTCCCGGTCCATCGCCATGATGGAAGCCAGGAGCTGGTCTTCCTTTTTCAACAATCTGGTCCAGTAACCGTTTTGCTGACCTGTTAACAAATTAATATTTAAATAGTAAGTTGTAGCATACCCAAGTTTATTCAAATAGAGAAATACAAAACAATGTAACCAAGTACTCCTCCTACCCCAATTCAGGATTAGGTGCCTTAATGCTAACTTTAACAATGTTTTTACTTTTAACTGAAAGAAAATGCCATCAAGGGTCAAAGATTGAGAGATTAGGCAATAAATTTTCTAGATATACAATTTTTATTTTGAAGAATAGTCCAAAATTTCCAAGAACTCTAATGCTAAAGTTATCTCAGAATTAAACTGATTCTTCCAAGAACTAAATGATTTATTTATTTACATTTTTAAACCACCATTTTGCTTACTCATATGCTACAATTATTCATTCAACAAATACTTAAATATCAACCATGTGCAAGTGCTATTTTAGGTAATGGGGTGGTAACACTCAAAGAGACAGGGTTCCTGCTGGAGTGGCTTCGTTTCATTAAAATAAGTAAAAATAACATGTCAAATGAATAACGTATGATTTGGAAAGTGCTATAAAGAAAATCAGGCTGGGGGCAGTGGCTCACGCCTATAATCCCAGGACTTGGGGAGGCCGAGGCGGGTGGATAACGAGGTCAAGAGATTGACACCATCCTGGCCAACACGGTGAAACCCTGTCTCTACTAAAAAAATACAAAAATTAGCTGGGTGTGGTGGCATGCACCTGCAGTCTCAGCTACTTGGGAGGCTGAGGCAGGAGAATCCCGTGAACCCGGGAGGCGGAGGTTGCAGTGAGCCAAGATTGTGCCCCGGCACTCCAGCCTGGCAACAGAGTGAGACTTCATCTCAAAAAATAGAGAAGAAAAAATCTAGTAAAGAGGGGGAACTAATAACGCAGAAGAAAGTACAACTGCAGGCTGAACCTTCAATAGGAAGAAAGGGCTGGCTTTAGGCACATGAACACAAAGCAAAGCAATTACCTGAGTACTATGTGAACAGAGAAAAAAAATGAAGGCTGGTAGGTTTAGCGGTAGGGGAAAAGAAAAGCTTCTTATCATTCGTTTCCATTTTCTCCGTAAATAAGCTTAAGAAGGAGAGAGGTGGGGTTAGATGCTGAAGATTTGGAGATGGGGAAATATAGTATTAAAGAGCCTTGGAGAGGAATGGAAAAGTGAATGGAACTAGGGAAATGCAGGCAACACAACAGTCCACTTGAGCTTAATGTCTGTGAGTTTTAGGTGTCACCAGTCAACATTACTGCGCATTCTCCTCCAGGCTACACTTCGCTTTGCAAGTAGAGACTGGAGTAGATATGAAGTTGTTTTAACCATTTTCTGTGTTTAATGATAAACCCTAATTGAGAAAGGCATGAGGCATAAACTTCAAAGGAGTCAGAGGACTTGGGAGGGAAGGAGGCAACGAAAGAGTAGTGTAAAATAAAGCAGTAACAAAGTGCAGAGAGAAAATTCAGAGTTCTCCTGTTGTTACTTTAAGTCGATTTTAAAGATTTTCAAACTTACTGGACAGATTCAGGTGTTCCAGTTAACATACAGGACCTTTCTGGAAGGCCACCACTGTCTACAATTTAAAACAAAAATAGAATTTCAGGTCAAAAGATTAAAGGCAGCATTATTAGTACTAGAAACCTAAAAGAAAAAAAAAAAGCTACTTCTCTAGTCACTCTGAAAATACCAAGAGAATGTAACATTACCAGGAGCTATCTGTATTTTGCATCCAGATTCCTGTTGTATGCGTGAGATCTGTTCACCTCCTCTGCCAATTACTAGTTAGAAAAAAAAAAGTTTTTTTGGTTTTAAAGATTCTAAAGTATGTTTTGATCATGTTTTCAAAACTTTAAAAATCAAGTTACTTACTAAATCCAACCATTCCATCTGGAACTTTGTATTCTTCTGTCATTACAGATCTGCTAAAAAGTAACAGAAAGTACCATTTTTCCTTCAGTGAAAGATACTTTGTTTACAAATAAAAGATAATCTATTAATAAAAATGGAAGTCTAATGTCTCCCAATGGCTTAAACTAAGGTTCTATGCTCAGACTCATGTCAAAAAATATGGTCTTATTACTTGAGTAGTTAAATTAAGAATTTTAAGATGATACATCAAGTGAAGAAGGGATGATCAATGGAACAGTCTGAAGGCATGAACTGTAAAGGAGTTGGAGGGGAGTTTAGAGAATGTCATCTTAACAGTTACTCTAATTCACCCCTGTTCTTCTAAACTGTGGCTAATTCCCTCTCTCTCTCCAAATCGCGAATTTTTCTCACTCAAAAGAAAAATCATCACTTTATGGTACCTTCCCAAGGGGAGTGATATGAACTAGGTACACCAAAAAATACAGACACATATTCAATATATACCAATGTGGTTGTGTTTTTACATGCAGCTCAACCAAAACTTGCAGAGTACTTTTTGAAAAGTTTGTGACTATACCTTTGCTGCTGATGCATCGGTGGTAACTGTGTTCCAAAAGCTATCAAAAAATTAAATAAAAATAAAACGAAAATTCAAAATTTAAAGTTACTTATGTATTTAACAACAAAATCACATCAAACATTCAAAAATCTTTCCCTAATGCACAGACAACACCTTGAAGAGAGTCAAATTTTATACAGAATATTTATATTGGCACTGACAGGGGTAAGAGAGCCAATGAAAGGGAAGACATTATATTAGCAATGGCACAGAACAATATAATTTCCTTTTTCAAGTTGTACAAGCATAGATCAAGAATTGGAGTTGTTAAATATGTAAAATAATTCGGCAACCAATCCTTACATATACCTGGCCACAATTAATGGGACAGATTGTAAAATAGGAGAAAAAGGTACATATTTACAAAGAAATTCAGGCTAGCTGATCCAAAATACTCATAAACCAACTAACTTCAAAGATACTCGATAATATGAACAAAATCTTAATATAGCTTTTGACCCAGTTTAAAAGGAATACTTACAGTCATTTTGAGGAGCAACTTTCTTAGCATCTGGTTGATCTGCAAAATTAAGTGTCTTTTAATTTTTTTCCAATTAAGTACAAAGCTTCTCCCCTCCCAAACAAGAATATAAACATTTATTGAAATATCTGAAGGTATAGTTTATCATTTGAACCAAAACTGCCAAAATTCGACACAAACTCAGTAATCTAAAAAAGAAACTATACTTCATTCTCTTCACATTCAAAAGATGCACAGACATTAAAATAGTTATCTGATTCTTAACAAATCACTGACCTTAATGTATGTTATGCACATTAGAATGATACAAGACAAAGTACTTTAGGCCCATTACTAGCAAAATATCACATGCTAAAGGCTAATGATGCTTCCACCTCAGGAACTGAAGACTGGGGGGAAAAAAGCGTATCAAACTACAAAAATCTGACATATTAAAAGTTGAGTATATCGGACAGTGACCACAAAGCTATGCCCCCAAAAATTAAAAAAAAAAAAAAACTCACAACATTACAAGGCAATCTCAACTTAAACTGTTCTATTATTTATAAACAAACATTTCACTGAATAAAACTTTAGCAAAAAAAACAAAAAACAAAAAACAAAAAAACTCAAGGCAACTACATGACTACCTTCATCTAAATCCATTACACAGATGAATACAATGCATACCTTGGAACAGACAACCTATAGCTCAAAGTACTACATTCTCCTCCCCCCTTCAAACTTAAATGATTAACCATCAGAATGTTGTGCAGCAAAAATTCAGACACATAATCCAAGAAATATTTGTGTCCATTTAAGAATCCACTGGTTTATTTCACGTTTACATACTGAACACAGGTAATAAATAAAAATTCCTGCCTTTAAAAGGAGAGGGCATTCCCTCCCAGTGTGTTGTACTGCTCGGACTTGTCCAAGAGCCATCTACACATAAAATAAAAAGAATACATTACATACAACATCTGAAGCATCATTAGCTCATTTTTTTTTTATATTAAAAACCTCACTATAAATATGAAAGACACTTAAATAAAGGAAACCAAGTTCTCCTGGTCAAAAGCTACAAATACATTCTATAGCCTCAGTGAGAATCCTTCCTTTAAAAAAAAGGGTAAAAAGAAAATGTATCAAAACTCATACATCAAACCTAAAACAAAAAATACATGCAGACTTCTAAGTTCAGAAGCTTCAATGATTATGATTTTTAAAACTACAAAGCACTGTGAACCCACTGTTTTAATCTATAGGTTTACAGCTAAACGTGAAACACAAAAGTACTAAAAGCAAAGAACATTAAAAAAAACGGTATAACCTGCAACACACTAGAGTAGCAAACAATACGAATTTCGACCTTTAAAGTGTAATTGCAAATAGAAAAATGACGAAAACACAGCATATTAAAATCCATTCATGTATGAGTAAAACCAGTGAAGTGTCTTCTAAGCAATTTATATTTTTGTTTTTTTAATATTATTAACAAGACGTCTGTGCAAACTTTCAATCTGGCACAATCCTAAAAGAGGGAAAATAAACTGTTTTCTAGTAAGACAAAACTTTCTGGTTGACTGAAATTTTACTTACCTTCTCTAGGTCTCTTCCCCTCCTCTTTAGGCCAATATACACCTTAACAGTTTTAACAACCTTATAATAAAAGTAATGTCTCAATAGAATAACAAAAAAATACTGAGAACCACTTCAACTAAACACTCTGAAAAACAATTTAAAATACGTATGAGTATAACTTACCTCCATCTTCTAAAGGTCTTTTTTGTCCCCCATAACCATAGTCATTTGAATTCAGTGATGTCCCAGCATCACCTCCAATTTTTGCTGCAATCTAAAAAAAAAAAAAAACAGAAAAATATCATCACAAACTACTATATACTATTCATTACTAAACTCCCATTTACTTCTAATACATGTATATATGAAATATTTAGTATCACATAAGAAAATTTACTTGAAAAATTAAAATTATAGTTCAATTTGTTGCTAAAATTAATACTTCAGGCAGTTAACATAATAATGAGTTTATTAAGCTTCTGATACATCCCTATAAGAAGCAACAAAGAAGTAATCAACTAGGAATCCGTAAGACAGACCAAACAGATACAAAGAAAATCTGGATCCTATCTGGCTCTCTCTCATGACACTTCAAAAGATGTGTGTAAACAGAGAATGTGAACACTTTGTGGGACCCAAAGGCTATGCTATCTAGTAAGGTAGCCACTAGCCCATATGTGGTTACTGAGTACTCAAAATGTGACTAGTCTGAAATGACACTTGCTCTAAGTGTAAAATTACTCACTGAATATTGAAAACCTGGAATAGAAATCATCTTAATTTTTTATATTAAGCACATGCAAAAGGGGTAATATTTTGGATATGCTGGGTTAAACAAAACATGGCTTACATTGTACTTCTACTGGACAATATTGTTCTAAGGATATATGCAGGAGCCCCAGGAGCTCAAGTCTTAAAAAACCTCAGCTGTGAAACCATAATTCTCTTAGAATATTTTTAACTTTCAGAGTAGGGCAAATAATTTCTTGCACCTGACTGAACAAATTTAATACCCAGCTTTGCTGGCATGGTGGCTCATGCCTGTAATCTTAGTACTTTGGGAGGTGGAGGTGGGTAGACTGCTTGAGCTCAGGAGTTCGAGAGCAGCCTGGGCAACATGATGAAGCTCTATCTCTACTATATACAAAAATTAGCCAGGTATTGTGGTGCACGCCCATAGTCCCAGCTACTCGAGAGGCTGAGGCAAGAGAATCACTTGAACCCAGGAGCTGGAGGTTGCAGTGCACTGGTATCATGCCATTGCACTGTAGCTTGGGTGACAGAGCAAGACTGTAAAAAAAAAAAAAAAAAAGAAAGAAAGAAAAACAACAACAACAACCTGGCTTCAAGTCACAAGTAGGGCACAATCAGTAGATATTTATTGAATTTTTCTGTAAAAAGAGAACTGAAATAGTTCCCATTTCCATGGGGAACCATGGAGTGGTTCTGCCACATTGATGAGTGGTCAGCAATAGGCCAAGCTCCACACTGCAATGCTGTACATTCATTATTGAAGATGTGTGATGGGCTCATGAGAATTTATTACATAATTCTTTCAATTTTGAGTATATTTGAAAACTTCCATGAAAAAATATTAAAGAAAACCTAACTTTTGGTGACTGGGATTCCCCAAAGAGATCCCAATATGGATAACTGCTTCAAGTTTTGATTATCATCAGACAACTGGAGAGGGTAAATTTATAGTTAAGTGCTTAAGTCATAAATTCAACATGGATTGCTTAAGTCTAATTACGCATCAGTTCCCATATACCAACTGTATTTCCTAGGACTCCTAGATTTCCCTTTTCCTCATCTAAAAATGCAAACACCCACCACAAAGAATATTAGGATCAAGAACTAGATTGCTCGATTAAAAAAAGGTACACTCTCAGGTGGACACAGTGGCTCACGCCTGTAATCCCAGCATTTTGGGAGGCCAAGGCAGGCAGATCACCTGAGGTCAAGAGTTCGAGACCAGCCTGACCAACATGGAGAAACTCAGTCTCTACTAAAAACACACAAAAAATGGCTGAGCATGGTGACACATGCCTCGCAGCTACTCAGGAGGCTCAGGTGGGAGAACTGTTTGAACCCAGGAAGTGGAGGTTGCAGCTAGCCGAGATCACGCCACTGCACTCCAGCCTCGGCAACGGCATGAGACACTGTCTCAAAAAAAAAGACAAACAAAAAAAGAAAACTCTAGCTTTGGTCAATCTAACCTTCTTTAACCATCTTTCACTTTACCAATTACAAACCTGTTTTTGTTTCTGGGTGTCTAATTTAAATCTTATTTTCCTAATAATACCTGAAAACACTGCTTTTCCACCCTTAGGTCTTAAAGCACTTAACATTTGAATTGTTCCTCAGGAAAGTAAATACACTGCTGGGCACTGACAGACACTAATAGCAGAGGGAAAGTATTTCAGGCCAGAGAAAATGGTGCTACCAAGAATAGGAAACGGTTTAGCCTATGAACACCTTCTGCAGTTAGCTTTTATAAATACTCTATGAGTTTGCAAAGTAGCACTCCTTGAACTCCAAGAAACTTCTATACAGAGAAAAGACATTTATACAACCTTACCCACTGAATAGTTCAAAAACTAACCAAATGAAAATGAAAGTTGAGGCTGGGCGCTGTTGCTCATGCCTGTAATCCCAGCACTTTGGGAGGCTGAGGTGGGTGGATCACCTGACATCTGGAGTTCGAGACCAGCCTGACCAACATGGTGAAACCCCCATCTCTACTAAAAATACAAAAAAAAAAAAAAAAAAAAAATTAGCTGGGCACGGTGGTGCGCGCCTGTAGTCCCAGCTACTCAGGAGGCTGAGGCAGGAGAATGGCGTGAACCTGGGAGGTGGAGCTCGCAGTGAGCCGAGATCCCTCCACTGCACTCCAGCCTGGGTGACAGAGCGAGATTCCGTCTCAAAAAAGAAAAAAAAAAAAAAAAAAAAGAAAATGAAAGTTGACAGTTTAAAGAACGAGTAACACCATTTCAAAAATTGAGAACTGTTACAAAGACATTAGAGAAAAGCTTTTAACAAAAATACCAATAAAGGAGCCTGGCTCAGTGGCACCTGCAGTCCCAGTTACTTCAGAAGCTGAGGTGGGAGACCTGGTTGAGGCCAGGAGTTCAACATTAATACAGTAAGACCCCATCTCTTTTAAAAAAAATTGAAAAAACAAAATGAACTATAGATTGATCAATTTTCTAAGATCAACAGAAAATATACAATTCCTAGGTGACTACAAGGATAATTAATTTAAGAAAAATAATTCCTAAAAACCAACCTCCAACTATATTCAACTCCTTTTTCAGAGTCCTAGAACATATTCAATTTTTATTAGGCATTTATCAAGTATGGGAAACTTTTTACTTTACATACTATTATATTTTTTGAGTCTCACAATGTTGCCCAGGCTGGAGTGCAGTGGCATGATCTGGGCTCACTGCAATGTCCACACCCCAAGTTCAAGCGATTCTCCCACCTCAGCCTCCCAAGTAGCCGGGACTACAGGTGCCCACCACCATGCCTGACTAATTTTTGTATTTTTAGTAGAGACAGGGTTTCACCCTGTTGGCCAGGCTGGTCTTGAATTCCTGACCTCAAGTGATCCACCCGCCTCAGCCTCCCAAAGTGCTGAGATTACAGGCGTGAGCCACGGTGCCTGGCTACTTTATTTTAGTTTTACAAAAATAATTCAAATTTTCCATCTGGACCATAATCGACTTCTTGAATGAGTAAGTTATTTTTCCTGTTTTCACTGTTTTAGCATTTCTCACCTCTACTGAGGAAGCCAAGACGTGAGAAATCCAAGAATTTGGGAGTTGAAAATAAACTTAAGACACAGTATCTTCAGTTTTTGCTCTCCACGGTTGCAGTTACCTACGGTATAGTACAATCAGATATTCTGGGGTAGGGGAGGATCCCCTTATTCATATAACTTATTACAGCATATTGGTTTTTTAAAAATTTGCCCTTCTTGTCAGTAATACAGTGTATTGTTGTAATTGTTCTATTTCATTTTTTAAATTAAATTAAAATTTTGAGACAGGGTCAGGCTGTTGCCCAAGGCTGTAGTGCAGTGGCATGATCATGGCTCACTTACGCAACTACGTAAAGGACCCAACATTGTCAACATTGTAAACTTGACCTCCCAAGTTCAAGCACTCCTCCCACCTCAGCCTCCTGGGTAGCTGGTACTACAGGCATGCACCACCATGTCTGGCTAATTTTTTGGTATTTTTTAATAGAAACAAGGTTTCACCATGTTGCCTAGGGTGGTCTCGGATTCCTGGGTTCAAGCAAACTTCCTGACTGAGCTTCTCAAAACACTAGGATTACAGACATGAGCCACCTTGGCTGGTTGATTTCTTTTTCAAGACAACGTCATAGTTAAAGTTAAGTGTTAAGATTATAGGCGTGAACCACTATGCCCAGTCTTTTTCTAATTTATTATTATTGTTAATACTATGTCTAATTTAGAATTTAAACTTTATAGATACACATATATAGGAAAAAATATTACCGTGTATATATTGGATTCAATACTATATGTGGTTTCAGATATTCACTGAGGTTCTTGGAATGTATCCTCCGAGGTTAAAAACAGACTACTGTAGTTTACTTAATTAACTTCTGAGGATCAGAAAATCTCTAAAATCAGGTGGTATGACCAACTATAGTCCCTCAGTGTCCCTGAGGGATTGGTTCCAGGAACCATGCAAATACCAAAATCCACAGATGCTCAAGTTCCTTACACAAAATGGTACAGTATCTGCATACAACCTATGCAAATCCTTTGGTATACTTAAAGCATCTCTAAATTACTTATAATACCTGATACAACGTACATAGTTGTATTGTTTTCATTCATATTACTTGTATTCTTGGACCGTCATTCCATTTTTCTAATATTTTTGATCCACAGTTGGCTGAATGTGCAGATGCAGAGCCCACAGACACAGAGGTCTGACTTGTACTTTAATTCATCAAAAATATTTATTGATTTAATTCAGTAAATGCTGAGTACCTACTACAGGCAAAGTCCTGATGGAGTTAGAGTTCCCATATACCAGACATGTGAAGAAACGTGCACACTAGAAATATTACCATACCATAATTTGCTTATCAGTCAAGCCCTGCTAAACTGTCACAAAATGATTTTTAAAAAGAATCATGCTCACATGTTAGTTTTCACTGAACAGACTGATGGTAATAAAAAAAAAAAAAAAACCAAAAACAGCTCTAGTCTGTATTTTCATTTCATTCAAACAACATTATGCAGCCTGAATCACTTTTATAATTGTCAGAGAAGAGACTGCAAGAAGGATCGAATACATACTGACTAATTTCATAGTTGTCTAGAGGGGAAGGGATGAGGGTTAACAGTTTTGCTTAGCTAATCATCTAGTCTGATTCATTTCTACCTTCATATAACCTCAAGGGAAAAAACGGTAGATAAATACATTTTAATTTTCCAATGTTCTAGAGACAGAAGTTGCTATTAGTACCACTGCTAAGGACCCAATCAAACAATCCCAATCTCTGGAGTTACAGCTTGAAATACATAAAAATAAATTTCTTAAGTGCACAGGCTGGAAACCCTGAACAAAAGCAGCAACGTGGTGTCCCTGTGTTGAATTGAGCTCAGAATACTATAAAAATCTAAGACTTTCACATAAAAATAAGCTAGGAAAAAAAAAAAAAAAAGGGTTGGCAACTAAATGACCAGATGTCAACAACCAGCTAGAGTTAACATTACTGACATTACCAAGTACGGACCAGGAATCAAAATTACTTGTCCTGCTTTTCTGAATAACAACTATCCAGCTAAATATACCAATGGCATCCCCACTGGTACAGCCTTTGAAGCTCCTTGAGAGCAGCAAACTGTTCTTATATCTTTTCCTTCCAAAAACAAAAACAGCATAGTATTCTAGACAAAGAAAATAAACTTAGAGTTAGTTGAGGATTCTAGAAACATAACTCAATATTCTCTTAAATACACAAGGAGGAAGTAGTTCAGGTATTAACCTAACTTCTGTCTAAATACCCTTCTGTATATTCCACACATATTATCAGACTAATAGCTACAACTGACATTTAAAGACATCATCAAATGTAATGGGTAATTCTAGTTAAAAGCCAAAGTTAGGAATCTCAGATTTAAGATCATTTTCATAAAGAAATCATTACAGTAAAGACAGAACAACTGACCTATTAGCATATGACAATAAATTTCAGTTTGATGACAATTTCTGTATTTTAAAAAGTAGAAAGAAATTATGGCTTAGCCTAATAATAAAACCTTTTTTTTTTTTTTTTTTTTGAGACAGGGTCTCGCTCTATGCCCAGGCTGGAGTGCAGTAGCGTGATCTCCACTCACTGCTACCTCCACTTTCCAGGTTCAGGCAATTCTTGTGCCTCAGCCTCCCAAGTAGCTGGAACTACAGGCACAGGCCACCAAGCCCGGCTACCTTTTGTATTTTTTGTAGAGATGGGGTTTCACCATGTTGGCCAGGCTGGTCTTAAACTCTGACTTTAAGTGATCTGTCTGCCTCAGCCTCCCAAAGTGCTGGGATTACAGGCGTGAGCCACCGAACCCGGCCCGAAATCCAATTTTTCATTAAAGCATTGCAACACAAAGTCTTCCAGTATCTGGATCCGCTTGTACCTTTCCTTGCCTTGTTTCACGTCCTCCCACCACCATCTTCTTGTGACTTCAATTCTGGGTTCTTGTCATTCCCCCACGTCCCATACCTCTGCGCATGCTGCTTCTTTTCCCTACTGGCCAAACTCTCATTCATTCTATAATGCCTTGCTCAAATATCACTCCTTTACTTAGGAAGCTGGGTATCCCCTCCCAACTTGTGTCCCGTACAAGGTGCCTGCCTCATAGTAGAAACTCTATAAACACTTATAAAATGAGCGGATGAATTAAATACCCGTATTTTGTCTGCCCTTGTTAATCAATTTATCAGATAATCCTGTTCATCTGCATTTGGTCAAGGAACTATATCATAGCTTCTTAGTAGGAAACAATTCATGCATTTAAAAAAAAAAAAAAAAAAAAAAAGGCCGGGCTCACTGCTGTAATCGCAGCACTTTGGGAGGCCCAGACGGGCGGATCATGAGGTCAGGAGTTCGAGACCAGCCTGCCCAGCATAGTGAAACCCTGTCTCTACTTAAAAAAAAAACAAAAACAAAAACAAAAAAATTAGCCGGACACGGTGGCGGACGCCTGTAATCCCAGCCACTCGGGAGGCTGAGGCAGGAGAATTGTTTGAAGCCGGAGGCGGAGGTTGCAGTGGGACGAGATCGCACCACCCTACTCCAATCCAGCCTGGGCGACAGAGGGAGACTCCGTCTCAAACAAAACAAAACAAAACTCCAGTATCTACCTACAGTGTTTGATACTAAGTAATCCAATGTGCTGGTTCTGGTAAAATAAAATAGTTGGTTCCAATAAATACAATAGTTAAGTTTTACAAATCAATCTAATAAAACGCGCTAACAGTGTTTGTCATAGTTATACAAATGCTTGCTGCTAAACATGTTCAGAATTTCTTAAATTACGTGAAAAAACCGCAGAACTAATATTAATGATAACCTTTTGTTGACTACCTCTAATATCTCTGGTTATAAACAAGTACAGGTACATGTTGATAATGTGTTCACATTAGGTATGTTACAACGGATTTTATGAATTCTGATTTTGACTCAACGTTCCTTTAACTGTATCGGTAAAAGTTAAGTGAACTCCTAATGCAATGAAAACACAGCACAACACTGGTTTCTAATTACCATTAGCTTAACACTAGTAAAAAATGTCCAGCACCTAGTACAATATGCATAGTGTCATAGAGAATAGAATTCTTTTGCTTACATGCAAATCCATACCAACACTATACATTTTGAAATTTTAAATATATTAGGGGACTATCTAAAAATGTAAAGTTCAAATTAAGAAATCTTCTATTTTCCTGGAATACTCGCACTATTTTAACAGCTTTCGTCTGGGAAAGTGGTGTCTTCAGGGCAAATGTACGCACTACGTAATACAAAGAGGTCTGGTCAGTTTGCGACTCTTAACAGAGAGGCAGATTCAAATTGAAACCTCTGGTATAATGGGCCTGAGGCCATTTTGAGAAATAAGGGGGACTGACTGTTAGAACAGACTGACGCTTAAATCCCGCCCAGAAAAAGACGGCTTTCAAGTCCCTTCCTTGTAGAGGTGTGAAGGTGAAAGGTACCGAAAGCGGTTTTAATTGCGAGAGGGAACGGAAATGAACTGTAAAGGCTGCTTTAACGACAAATCCCTTCCCTTGCTATGGCTCCAGGAGACCGACCCTAGTTCTTTCCCAAACTGATTACCAGAACCTTCCATTAAATTGTGTGAAACTACCTGCGCTTTATCCCCTGGAAGAGAATCTTCATCTCGAGGAAAAGGGGAGGCTAAGTTAGCTCGCTGGCGACACACGAGTGCCGCAGAAGCGGGAGAAAGCCTTCAGGCCTTCTTTGCGTAGCACGCGTCGGGGTTCTAAGTGGATTACACACCAAGAACACAAAACTGAGTTCTGGTCTCTAATCTTCATTACCAACAAGGGGAAACGTGTCTCCTCACATTTCAGCCCGGAAGGACACCTCTTTCCTCTTCCTCATGCGCTAAAGGGTAGCGGCCTACTCAGTCAGCGGCCAATTACCGTGAGCTTTCGGGATTCCGCCGCGCGGTCCACACTTACCTGCCGGGCTCTCTGCAGTGCATCTTTGAAAGCGTCGTTAACTCCTCCACCACCACCGCCGCCACCGCCGCCACCAGCTGAGCCAGAAGACGGTGGAGGCACTGTTGAATAGTCTGCCATGGTTACACTACGCTAGCCGCTGCCGCCCGTTCAGAGACTTCCTCTCAGCTAAGAAAGAAAGAAAATGGCGGCCGTTGAAGCTGTATCACATTCTTGCGCGACCATCGTGCCGTAAAGGGGTGGAGACTGAAGGAACGAAATCTCGCGATGTTTCCGAGGCAACGCGCTAGTGTGGGGCTAGGGCTGAGAAAGAACGACAGAAACAGAGACGTCGCGAGAATTAGGTTTAAGATTTCGCGAGAATAGGGTTTCTTTTGGCGCCGCCTCTCCGCGCGTTCTTGCGGTGAGGCTGGGTAATTGTTCTTGCAGGGTGGTGGGTGACAGTAGCCGGTTGACAGCGAATGGGATTGGGTGGTGGGAATCCTGAAGAAAAGGTTGTTTCTTACCGGTGGCTGCCTCAGGGAGGTAGTGCGGTAGAATTTTCCGCCATGGGTCATTTTCGGTGTCCGCGGGGAAGGGCGTGACAGCGACGGCCGTGACGGCGACGCAACAGTGTCTCGAGAGCGCTGCCGCCCGGAGGGCGCCTGGAGAAGCGCTTGCGAGACGCCGCGCGGTGATGCTCCCGAAAACGTCTACCCGGCCTAGCGGGAACCCAGCATGATTTTCAGGGTAGTAAAGTGTCCCTGTATTTTACTTCCAGGCTGTCAGATTTTTGAGTTTTATCACGAGGGGGGTGTTGAATTCAGGCTGGAAGCCTGTTAGTTCTCGACCATATTTTAGGTTTTTGTTTAAAATAATGTAGATGAGGCTCTAAAAATATGGCTGCCCTTTTCTTTATCCAAAAACGTGATTGTTCTTAAAGTTCAGTGTTAGCCAGATTTAGTAACCTAGTATTTGTACGTGTCCATGGCCATTTTTGTTAAGGTTGTTTGTTTGTTTTTGGTTTTTTTTTTTTTTTGAGACAGAGTCTCGCTCTGTTGCCTCGGCTGGAGTGCAGTGGCGCGGACTCGGCTCACTGCAGCCTCCGCCTCCTGGGTTCAAGCGATTTTCCTACTTAAGCCTCCCGAGTACCTGGCACTACAGGTGTCCGCCACCACGTCCGGCTAATTTTTTGTATTTTTAGTAGAGACGGGGTTTCACCGTGTTAGCCAGGATGGTCTCGATATCCTGACCTTGTGGTCCGCCACCACGTCCGGCTAATTTTTTGTATTTTTAGTAGAGACGGGGTTTCACCGTGTTAGCCAGGATGGTCTCGATATCCTGACCTCGTGATCCACCCGCCTCAGCCTCCCAAAGTGCTGGGATTACAGGCGTGAGCCACTGCGCCCGGACTATTAAGGTCTTTTAAGTTAAGAACAGCATTGTTTCTTGGCCAAAATAGATTTTGTAGCTTCTTAGGCGTAGTTTCTCCCACCCCAGCTTGTGGGTATTCAAATGTAAGGTAAACTTCTGAATTGTCATCACAGGACTAGGTATATGTGTGTGTGTGTGTGTAAATTGGTATTTTATCTTATGTACTTAAGTTACCAAGTAATTTCAGACATTTCTTCAGACTTTCTCCAACATATCGTGGCAGTTTACTGTGTTAATAGTAGTTTCAGGAATCGTTACGATACTTACTATTGAGTATATCACAGTGACTATTTTTCCAAAATTATTTCTATTTAAATAACAAAGAATGAGGTAAAATGAACTTTCTCAACTTTGTGGCATTTGTGGCATTATTTGGTTAGGTCTAAAAAAAATTCTTTTTCAGCAGCTCATAAGAGTAATTGTGAGAAATATATGCTGCATTCTTTCTGAAAACCTAAAAGTAATGTGTTCATTTGCTCAAGCACCAAAATAGCAGTTAATATGCTTGTAGATACAGGTGAGCCATCATTTCCCTTTAATCAGCTTTTAATGCAGTCGTATTCATTTATATCTGTGATGATCTCTTTCAGTGTTCATGGCCATTCCTATAAATTTTGGTGGGATTTCCTTTTCAAAAATCAGTGCATGTATGGGACTACAGATCTAATCATAATATATAGAAAAACAGTAAAAGCAGTGTTGGGTGTATAGCTAAGTAGAAATTTTCCAGTTGTATTTTGAGAATGTCTTGATTTTTTCATATTTTATTAATTAGGCAATACAATCAGACCTTTGGATCAATGTAATTTACCACAGTGCTGTAATTTACCCTCAAAACAAATTTATGTATATCGCAATTTATTTTAGTTATCATTGAATGTTGAAAAATATGTAAGGACCTCAATTTTTTTTTTTTTTTTTTAAATGCTCGCTCCGTGGCCCAGGCTGGAGTGCAGTGGCGCGATCTTGGCTCACTGAAACCTCGGCCCCCCCAGGTTCAACAGATTCTCGCTCCTCAGCCTCTGGAGTAGCTGGGATTACAGGTGTGCACCACCATGCCCGACTAATTTTTTTTTGAGACAGAGTCTCGCCCTGTTGCCCAGACTGGAGTGCAGTGGCATGATCTCGGCTCACTGTAACCTCCACCTCCTGGCTTCAAGCAGTTCTTCTGTGTCAGCCTCCCGAGTAGCTGGGATGACAGGCACCCACCACTACGCCCAGCTAATTTTTGTATTTTTAGTAGAGACAGTGTTTCACCGTGTTGGCCAGGCTGGCCTCGAACTCCTGACCTTGTGATCCATCTTCGGCCTCCCAAAGTGCTGGGATTACAGGTATGAGCCACCGCACCCGGCCAGAATGAAATTCTTGATAGGTTAATCTTTTGGAAAAATTAATGCTTGAGATAAAGGTTCTTTGTGAAAACATAAATAAATTCTGCTTTTTAGGACCTCTTCAGTGAAGCTGGGAGGAATATTTGGGGGGTTGCTAAGGTGTCATTCCAAACTTTTTCAGTGTTCTTCAAATCTAATAAAAGAACAAACATCTTTACTGTATTATACAAAAGGCCTTTTTGAATATTAATGGAGCATTTGTTTGGTTACTCCACACATTCATTGCCAGGATCTGTCCTTTGACTATGATCATGGCAGACATAACAGGGCATCATAGGATATATAGAAAATAGATTATTAATTTTTAGAGAGAAATTTAGATCTCTTCACCTCTTCTTGTAAGACATAACACTCCCAGCTTCCTATTACTTCAATAATGTTAGATTGAAAGTTTGGGACTCCTGAAAGCATCTAAATTAAATAACTGGCCTTATCATCCAGTTCTTAATTGAGTTTAGCTTATTCCATAGCATACATTATAATAATTTATAATAAAGCTGCTATATACATAATTTCCTGTAAATTGATCCTATACTTATTTCCCAGATGTTTCCAAATCTGTGTCTGCACAACTACCTACAAAACTTTGGTTTTGCATGTTGCCTCAAAAACAAAATGTCTAAAATTCACGTAGGTACTGTTCTTATTCTCCCTTTTTTTGTGGTCAAAACATTTATTGTTTCTTTTCCTATTGGATCATATATTTAGATAATCAGTTCTTCTATTACATTTATCTTTTTCATTAACCTTTAGCTAAATAAAAAAATCCCGATTAAAAATAGTCTTTTTTCATGAAACTTAACCTGACTAACCAATTGCAGTGACCTTTTATTTATTCAGTGGTTACGCACATCGGCTACAGGGAGCTTTTAAAAAATATGAAAGGTGGGCCGGGCGTGGTGCCTCACGCCTGTAATCCTAGCACTTTGGGAAGCCGAGGCGGGTGGATCACCTGAGGTCAGGAGTTCAAGACCAGCCTGGCCAACATGGTAAAACCCCGGCTCTACTAAAAATACATTAGTCGGGCATGGTGGCTGGTGCCTGCAATCACAGCTACTCGGGAGGCTGAGGCAGGAGAATTGCCTGAACCCGGGAGGCCGAGCTTGTAGTGAGCGGAGATCGCACCACTACACTCCATCCTGGGTGACAGACCAAGATTCTGTCTCAAAAAAAAGAAAGAAAGAAAGGTTAGCCCTAACTCTTGCTCCCAGAAACTGATTTAATTGGTCTATATTTGAATCTGTAAAAGCTTCCTGGGTTAATCCTAAAGTGCAGACACATTTGAGAACCGCTGAAATGCACAAGTGTACAAGCTCTGGCTGACTTTTCGCTTATTTTTAATGGGTTGCGGTTTGTTTCTAGTTAGGGGTATATAGTCTTGAGATGAATTCGAAGTCTAGAAACATCTTTTTTTAAACTGTTAAAATAATTAAATGGGAAGTGATTAGACTGAGGTACCTCCAGTGCCCTGTCTTCCTACATAAGCAAACCAAAACCTAACTCAATGTAAACTGTCTTAACCAATCAGAAACTGCCCATTAATCTTTAACTAGAGACTTTTCACTGGATCAGTCCAAATCAGACTATTGCTCCACTTTAATCAAATGTTTTGCCTTGTTTCTGCGTTCATCCTATGAAAGTCCTTCCTATCCCTTCAGCCCTAAGCCGTTGAACTACTTTTAATTGGGACATGTCCTATTCACGAATCAATTGAAAGTTTTTCTTTTAACTGGACTAACTCAAACTTTTTGTTAGCTAGACTAAGGCAGAGTTTCTTAACAAAAAGGTCACCAGCATCATCAAGAGTGCTTTTTAGAAATGCAGATACCTTAGCCCTACCTGGACCTACTGAATCATGTTTTGGAGAATCTATATTTCTTTCTTTTTTTTTTTTAGAAAGTAAGCATCATAGTCGATTCTACTCATCAAGATTTGAAAACTACCCTTTTACACAAAACATATTTAATATTTGAGGAATTAAAGTGAATTAAATTTTGTTTCCCTGGCTAGATTGTAGTAAATGTTATGAATACAGAAATTCTGTCCTCTCCCTTTTCCCCTCTGTGTAAAAGAGGGCTGGTCAAGGACCGGGTCTTATTCTTTGGTTTGCCCAGTATGCTTTTATGTTGGTGAAAGTTAAATAAATATCAAGTTGAATTACTTATTCCACTTAACATTTTCCTATAAAGCTACATATGATTATGAATGTGGAGGGCCTTTAAGGCCAGATGGCACTGAAGGGTAGCTTCACACAAACTTTTCTTAGAATATCAGTCTTAGAAAGACCTTGAAGGTAATCTCGCCCATTTGTTTCATTTCATGTTAGAGGAAACTAATACAGATTGCTGAGTGCCTTCTACAAAGTGCCAAGATTAATTGCAGAGCCAAGACTAGATTCCTAATCCAGTGCTCTTTTATTTTGTGAAATATCTTC